AATTTTGTCTATAGCCTCACAAGACCGCCAAAGTTATGATGGTTTCTCATTTTTCTAGCATTAGCCTAGGCCAGTGGTCGGCAAACTTAAGCCCCTTGAGTGTGGCTCTTCCACAAAATACCACGTGCGTGCGCACACGTACAGTGCGATTGAAACTTCGTGGCCACACTCAAGGGGCCAAAGAGCCACATGTGGCTCTCGAGCCGCAGTTTGCCGACCACTGCCTAGGCAAATTGATTCTCAGCTTCTTTTTTATTTTCATATATTTTATTAATTATTTTACAGAGAGGAAAGGAGAAGGATAGAAAGTCAGAAACATCGATGAGAGAGAAACATTGATCAGCTGCCTCCTGCACACCTCCTACTGGGGATGTGCCCGCAACCAGGGTACATGCCCTTGACCAGAATCGAACCTGGAACCTTTCAGTCCACAGGCCAATGCTCTATCCACTGAGCCAAACCAGTTAGGGCGATTCTCAGCTTCTTGCCTTATGCCCAGATTCAACAAATGCCTCCTTGGAAATGTGGTTGTGCTAATCAGGCCACCTCACTATGCTTCCCTGCTCTCTTGATTCTTGGTCTCTCTAGTTCTTTTCCTTCAGTAGTTCTCTAATAGCTTTTTTTTTAGTCCTCACCTGAAAATATTTTTCCATTGATTTTTAGAGAAAGTGGAAAAGAGAGGGAAAGAGAAATATCGATGTAAGAGAAACACATTGATTGGTTGCCTCCTGCACACACCCCAACCAGGGCCTGGGCCAGAGTGGAGCCTGCAACCAAGATATGTTCCCTTGGCTGGAGTCAAACCTGGGATGCTTAGGTCTGCAGGCTGACGCTCTATCCACTAAGCCAAACCTGCTAGGACCCAATAGCTTTAAAAATATTTTTTTAAACTTTTTTTTTCTGGATTTTCAAGCTGTTTTTTTTTTCTTTCTTTCTTTCTTTTTTTAAGTTTGCTCTGAAAGAAGTAGAGATTCTTTTTATATTTTTATTGATTTCAGAGAGGAAGGGAGAGGGAGAGAGAGATGGAAACATCAGTGATGAGAGAGAATCATTGATTGGTTGCCTCCTGTACACCCCACACTGGGGATCAAGCCTGCAATCCAGGCATGTGCCCTGACTAGGAATCGAACTATGACCTCCTGATTCATAGCTCGACGCTCAACTACTGAGCCACGCCAGCCCGGCTAAATCTGTTCTTGATGGATGCATTGGTTTAACACAAACTACTACTTCATACCTGGAAGTGATAGTAACATATAGTTTATTGCCACAAATAGTTTATTGTTATACTGGTATATTGGTTCTCACATCCATTATCCGGTTAACTTTTTAAATTGAATCTTTATTGTTGAGAGTATTATATATATATATCCCCTTTCCTCCCCCCATTGACCCCTTTTAGCCTGCCCCTGCTTCCCCCCCACCTCCACACACACACCCCAGGCCTTCACCATCCTATTGTCTGTGTCCATGGATTATGCATATATGCATACAAATTCTTTGGTTGATGTCTTCCCACCCACCCTCCCCCACCTTCTCTCTGAGATTCTGCACTTTGTTCTATGCTTCTATGTCTCTGGATCTGTTTTGTCCATCAGTTTATTTTGTTCATTAGATTCCACATATAAGTGAGATCATGTGATACTTATCTTTCTCTGACTGGCTTACTTCACTTAGCATAATATTCTCCTGGTCCCTCCATGCTGTTTCAAAGGGTAAAAGATCCTTCTTTTTTACTGCTGCATAGTATTCTGTGGTATAAATGTACCACCGACTTTTAATCCACTCATCTACTTGGGCTATTTCCAGATCTTAGCTATTGTAAATTGTGCTGCCAAGAACATAGGGGTGCATACATTCTTTCTGATTGGTGTTTCAGATTTCTTAGGATATAGTCCTAGATGTGGGATCACTGAGTCAAATGTAAGTTCCATATTTCATTTTTTGAGGAAACTCCGTACTGTTTTCCATAATGGCTGCACCAGTCTGCATTCTCATCAGCAATGTAGTAGTCTTCATATCCTCACCAGCACTAGTTATTTGTTGACTTGTTTATGATAGCCATTCTGACAAGTGTGAAGTGATACCTCATTGTTGTTTTTATTTGCATCTCTCTGATGATCAGTGACTTTGAGCGTTTTTTCATATGTCTCTTGGTCATCTGTATGTCCACTTTGGATAAGTGTCTATTTAGTTCCTTTGCCCATTTTTTAATTGGATCATTTGTCTTCCTTTTGTTCAATTGTATGAGTTCCTTATATATTTTGGATATTAACCCTTTATCAGATGTATCATTGGTAAATATGTTCTCCCATACAGTAGGCTCCCTTTTCATTTTGTTGATGGTTTCTTTTGCTGTGCAGAAGCTTTTTATTTTGGTGTAGTCCCATTTGCTTATTTTTTCCTTAGTTTCCTTTGCCCTAGGACAGTGGTCGGCAAACTGCGGTGCGCGAGCCACATGCGGCTCGCGAGCCACATGCGGCTCTTTGGCCTCTTGAGTGTAGCCACAAAGTTTCAATTGCACTGTACGTGCGTGCCCGCACGTGGTATTTTGTGGAAGAGCCATACTCAAGAGGCCGCAGTTTGCCAACCACTGCCCTAGGAGATATATCTGTAAACATATTGCTATGAGAGATATCTGAGATTTTGCTGCCTATGGTTTCTTTTAGGATTTTTATAGTTTCACGACTTACATTTAAGTCCTTTATCCATGTTTTTTTAAAATATATTTTATTGATTTTTTACAGAGAGGAAGGGAGAGGGATAGAGAGTTAGAAACATCGATGAGAGAGAAACATCGATCAGCTGTCTCCTGCACACCTCCCACTGGGGATGTGCCCGCAACCAAGGTACATGCCCTTGACTGGAATCGAACCTGGGACCCTTCAGTTCGCAGGCCGACGCTCCATCCACTGAGCCAAACCAGTTAGGGCCCTTTATCCATTTTGAGTTTGCTAGTATTCTCGTGTAAGGTGTAAATTGGTGATCTAGTTTCATTTTTTTGCATTTATCTGTCCAATTTTCCCATCATCATTTATTGAAGAGACTGTCTTGACTCCAGTGTATGTCTTACCTTCTTTGTCAAATATTAATTGAGCATAATGGCTTGGGTTGATTTTTGGGTCTCTGTTCTGCTCCATTGATCTATATGTCTGTTCTTGTGCCAGTACCAGGCTGTTTGATTACAGTGGCTTTGTAGTATAACTTGATATCTGGTATTGTGATTCCTCCAACTTTGTTGTTCTTTTTCAAGATTGCTGGGCTATTCGGGGTCTTTTTTGGGTCTCAAGTATTTGTTCTAGGTCTGTGAAATATGCCGTTGGTAGTTTAATAGGGATTGCATTGAATCTATAGATTGTTTTTGGTAGTAAATGATGTTAATTTTACCAATCCATGAGAGTGGTATTTTCTTCCACATGTTAATATTTTCCTCTAGCTCTTTTTTCAATGTCCTGTAGTTTGCCGAGTACAGACTTTTACCTCCTTGGTTAAGTTTATTCCTAAGTGTTTTTTTTTTTCAATGGTAAATGGGGTTGCTTATTTAGGCTCCCTTTCTGAGAATTCATTATTGATGTATAAAAAAGCCATCGATTTTTGGGTGTTAATTTTGTATTCTCCTATATTGCCTAATTCATTTATTAAATCTACTAGTTTTTTGGTAGAGTCCTTAGGATTTTCTATGAACAATATCTGCGAATAATGAGAGTTTTACTTCCTCCTTTCCAATTTGAATGCCTTTTATTTTTTCTTCTTGTCTGATCATTGTGGCTAGGACTTCCAGTACTATGTTGAATAAGAGTAGTGAAAGCCAACATCCCTGTCTTGTTCCTGTTCTACAGTTAACTTCTTTGAAGTCAGTTTCTTTAAGTGACTCTTGCTTTTCTGATTGTATTGTGTATAGGAGATCTCTTGTTAATATTTATCAGTGTAGAAGTAAATTGATTCTTACTCAATAGGCCTGGTAGTGAGAATATTTGTTATCAATTCAAAATCAACAATGACTCTAAAACTATTATGTAAACAAGTGAAAAAATATTTGCTTGTCAAAAGCCCAGATGTGTCCTAGCTAGTTAGGCTCAGTGGCTAGAGTGGCGGCCTGTGAACTGAAGGGTCCTGATCCCCAATGTGGAGCGTGCAAAAGGTAGCCGATCAGTGATTGTCTCTCATCATTGATGTTTCTATCTCTCTCTCCCTCTCCCTTCCTCTCTGAAATCAATAAAAAATATATATATATTAAAAAAATAAAAAGCCCAGATGTACACTTCCTGGGATATTTGATCTATTCCTGTGGTTATAATGATGATTTAATATGGTTTTATGTTTGGAGCCACTATTTATTCCTTTTTGCTTTCTTAATATCAGCTTATAGTTAGCTTTGTTTACATCAAGTGATTTCAGAGTTTAAAGAACTCTCTTTTGTTTTATCTTTAATTTTTAATGTAAAAAGAACAAGAAAGTATGAGAAAAGGTGAGAGATCTCTTCCTTACTTCTCTCCCTCAAAATAACTAGTTTAACTACTTCTCTTCCTCCCCTCCCCTTCCTTTTTACTTTTTGTCCTCTCTCCTGTTGATACATGTTAATTGAAGAAAATATAGAAATTGAAATACATAAAAGGAAGAATATTAAAATTTCTTATAATCTCATCCCAAGAAGTAATCTTTTGAGCATTTATCATACATATTTTTTTTCTTTATAAAATGGAGCATATTGTTATTATTGGTTCTCAGGCTTGTCTCTACATTAATATCACCAGTAACAATTAAAATATACATATAGATTCTGGGATATATCTCAGACTTAACCAAATCAGAATCTCTAGGGGTGGGGCTAAGATAGTTTGTTAAAAACAAAACAAAACAAACAAAAAACCCTCCTTAAAAAAATGTAATAACTTTCAGAATTTTTTAGACAAAAAATTGAATATTGCAATATGGTATATAGAAAACTTTAATTTATATAGAAACCTTTCTCTAATGATTCAATTTTAACTTTTTCCTAGCCATTCCACCCTATGGTGAATCTGGATTGTTCTCGGGATTTCCGGCCATTTCTTTGTGCACTCTATGCTCCTATTTGTATGGAATATGGACGTGTTACACTTCCCTGTCGTAGACTGTGTCAGCGGGCTTACAGCGAATGTTCAAAACTTATGGAGATGTTTGGTGTTCCTTGGCCTGAAGATATGGAATGCAGTAGGTGCGAAAATCATATTTTTATGGATCATGACTTATGTTGCAATATATTTAAAAATTACTTGTCTTCTTGTTCATCAGTTTTTAAAAACTTTTTTAAGTACATATATATTAGTCTTAATTTAAAAAAATATACATATATATATATATTTTTTATTTCAGAGAGGAAGGGAGAGAGAGAGAGATAGAAACATCAGTCATGAGAGTGAATCATTGATTGGCTGCCTCCTACATGCCCCACACTGGGGATCGAGCCCACAACCTGGGCATGTGTCCTGATTGGGAATCAAACCATGACCTCCTGGTTTATAGGTCAATCACTGAGCCACACCAGCTGGGCTGATTTTTTCTTTTTAAGGAAAAAAAAAAAATTTAGATGAAATTGAAAATTCCTTCCTTGGTACCTGCCTTGATTGCATTACCTTCTTTCCTCCCCAGAGATGAAGTAATCATGTTAAATTTGTTGTTAATCATTCCTGTGTTTGTTTTTATACTCTTACTACATATATACATATCCATAAGCAACATTAAATTTTTTTACATGTACCTATGTTTATATCTTTAGGTCTGGTTCATTCCCTTTAGTTGCTATATAATGGCCAATTGTACTAATATCCTATAGTTATTTAGCCATCTCCTAAGGATGGTCATTTGGATTATTTCCAGGTTTTTGCTATTATGAACAATGCTACAGTGAACATTGTCTCCTTCATGTTTAAAATTAAATTTGTTTATCATCTGACAGTAGTCCTTGGAGGTAGGTAAAAAGCAGGTGGTGTTATTCTCATTTGAGAGATGGAAAATTTAAAAAATAAAACATTAATTTCTTGTAGTCAATTCACTGACATTTTGCTTTCTTATCCACTCTCTCCTCAAATACCTGATTGTGTTTATAGTACCTCTTCAGAAGTTTGTAAATTTTTTGACTGGGCCAGAATCCTGTCTTGTTTTTTGTATCTAACTCTCATATTTAGTGGTCTTTTTATGTTAAAAGTGTATATACATGTATAGAAATCTCATTATGATCTTTATGTCTTTATTTTGATAAGATTAAATCTATTTTATGTCCTCACTATTGCTTGGGATTGCCTAACTCTGAAAGCTTAAATCCTGGCAAGCTGGTCTTTCATAACAACTCTTCATTCTTCCACATCTCTCATATTTTTGTTTCTACTGTACCCATCTTCGCTTCATGGACACCCCTAGACTTTTGTGTTTTTTTACTCTCCCAATAGACACCTTCCTGATCTTAATTATTTCCTTACGTAGCTTAAGCTTTGTGGTCCATCACTTGAAATAACACTTTTGCTAGCATTTTTAATTTATTTCTTCTACTATATTTGCTCAGATCCCCAAACTGATTGATTCAACCAATGTTTTATAAATTACCTGTTCTATTATTTAATGATTCAAACCATAGCAATTCTGTTTGCTGTTTGTCTTTGGTCAGTAGGGAAATTTGTGCTCATCCCCCTAAGCACCTAAGCTAAATCTATATAATTCATTTCAAACTCATTTCACTTTTATTCTCTATTTAACCTTTATTCCCCTTAACCTCAACCTGTCCTCTCCTAAAAACCAGTTAGGCCATCATATGTGAACCGTTGTAGACTGTTACATCTCGAACCAATCCTTTCAGTTTTCTTTATTGGATCCTTTACTGCTTTCTGATTATTAAACACTGGTGCTTCTCAGAGTTCTGTTCCTATTCTCTTTGATTCTACATGCTTCCCCCAGATAATATCATCTTACTGGTTTAAACTTTTATTCATATACTGATGACTACTAAATCTAAATTTGTAGCTTTGATTATCTTCCTACCAAATTCTATATCTGCATATCCAAAGCCATTGGAAATGCTGGCTTGAATTTGTCTCAGATAACTCAGTTTCAACATGTTCAAAATTTACTTTATTCCTAGATCATTTTTTTATTGCCTGGAAGTCATCTTCCAACTTTATTGACCTTAACTTCCACATTTAATCAGTTATAAATCCCATGTAACTAATTTCATAGCTGTCACATTCTCACTGCCTTACATGGTTTTAGTTCTGGCTCAACAGGTATCTCTGTCCCCATTTTTGCCCAGCTCTATCTATCTTCCACACTGCTCTTAGTCATCTTTCTAATTTCTTGGGGTAGGGTTATATGAATATATTTATTCAATAATCATTAATTTAACAAATATTAAGTGGATGTGCTCTGTGTGTGGGCACTATTCTATGTTGAAGATGAACAGTAAACAAAACATCTCTGTTTTTATGGAGCTAAAATTCTAGTGGTGGGAGATAAATAGATAATGTCAGATGGTAACAAATGCTGTTAAGAGTAGAGATCAGAGACATAGAAGTATGGAACAGACTGATGAATCTCAGGGGGAAGACACGGTGGTTGGGTGGGTGAGAACAGATTAATCAAAGAACTTATATGCATTATATGCATAACCCATGGATATAGACAATAATGTGGTGGTGAAGGCCTGGGGGTGGGGCACAGGTTGAAGGGGGTAAACGGGTGCGGGGGGAAATGGGACATCTGTAATACTTTCAACAGTAAAGATAAATTTAAAAAAAGAATAGAGTTAGGTGATAGTGATACAATACAGGGAAGTATTGTATTTTCTATTTTCTGTGGAGGTATTGGGGAAGGCCTTTCTGATAAGGAGGCATTGGAACAGGGACCTAAGTAAAGTGGGAGAACAAATACAGATATCTAGGAAAGAATAGTCTAGGCAGAAGAAACAGGGGAGCAAGTTCAGAGGTTCTGAAGTGGAAGAACACTTGGCATATTCAGAGAACAAACAGATCGAAGGGGCTGGAGCTAAGTGAGGGAGGGAGAAGGGAAAGGTTAAATAAGATCAGAAAAGTACTGGGGGGGTGGTAGTTTTGTAGCTCTAATATGAATTTGAATTTGACTCAGAGTGAGAAGGGAAGTTGTTAGAGGATTTTGAACAGAAGAAATATGATCATGAGCACAGGAGTGGCTGCTGTATGGAAGTGGAGATCAATTGGAAGTTCAGGGAAGAGGCACTGATGTCAAACTGGGGGGCAGCAGTGGAGAAAAAGAGAAGTGGTCAGATTCTGGAATATCACAAAGTAGAATGACAGGATTTGCTGGTAGATTCTGAAGTGTAAATGAGAGAGAAGATGACCCCAAAGTTTTTGGCCTAGGCAGCTAGAATGAAATTATCATTTATGGAGATGGAGAAATCTAAGGAGTGGAAATCAAGAGTTTGGTTTTGAGTGAAGGGCGTGTATGTGTTGAATTGGAAGTTAGATATGTACAAATACATCCATAAAAATACATAGTATTACTTTGTATGGTTTTAAATTTTATCAGTTTTATACACACACACGCACACATACACACACACACACGTTTCTGCAATATGCTTGCTTCTCCAATCTCATCCCTGTCACAAGTCATGCACACCTCATGCTCCAGTAGTACTAAACACACTGTATGCTTTTGCTTACATTACTTTCTAAAATACTGTTTGGCATACTTCCAATACTGGCAAATACTGATTGAAAATTTTATGTTAAGAGACTTATCCTGTGGAGTCTTTTATAACCTCTTCTCCTGAAATAATTAATCCTTCTCTACATCATTTTATACTTTATATAGATTTTGATTGCTTCATGTATCACATTGCTGTCTTTTTTGTTGTCTTTACCAGTATGTATCTCCTTTTAGACTGAAGGATAGAGATCCTGTTCTTTTGTCTGTTTATGTTAAACCCCTGGCATACTTCAGGATTCCAATAAATGCCTGAATGCAGTAAGTTTCTGTCTTTTGGCTTTATAATTCCAAGCCCTGTGAAGAAAATGGTTTGTATCAAAAAATAAAAGATTATCCACTACAGCATAAGGTTATACATGCATTTGGCAAACAATATAAATGATAGTTCCTTGGAAACTATTTGATGCATATAAACTAGTAAACATTTAGTTAGTGAGAGTCTGAGGACTTAGCAACTGCTATTGGCAAGAAAATTGAAGATGCAGGAAGTTCATGAGGATGGTACTATTAGTCATATAAGTATGTCTGCCCTATTTTCTCTGTCCTGAGGCTATGGCACTTTCTCAAGTCTGTGGATCTGGAAAATTGTTAAAATGCAGATTTCTTGGGCCCTAACAAGAGTATATTGTAATATGATTTGTGGTGATGGGGACCAAGAATTTACATTTTAAAAGGATCTTAAGTTTTCTCATGCACTTTAAAGGTTGAGAATAACTGAAGTAGAGAATACAATGGATTGGAGAGAAATTAGGGATGGTAGGAAGGAAATAGTTGACATTAGAGACCTTAGAAGGCCTTTAATTAAACAATATGATAAGCAGAGAATGACTGTAAAATGGGGGGAAAACGCTAAAAACTTTAGCTTTCTAATTCCAACCCCTGTGAAGAAGATGGTTTGTATCAAAAAATAAAGGATTAATCCACTACAGCATAAGGTTATGCATGCATTTGGCAAACAATATAAGTGATAGTTCCTTGGAAACTATTTGATGCATATAAACTAGTATATTAGCCACTTATAAGGATTTTTAATGTTAATCTAACTCAAAATACCTTGGAACATGCATTTAGGGAATATTTTTAACTTATGTTTAAGTAAGTTTTTATGTGAATATAGGGTAAGTTGAAGACTATACTGTAGTTAGACCAAACTAATTTCTAGCGTCTATTCTGTTGGAACTATATACTTAAATGTATTTATTTTACCTGTTTTATATATATTTTATATTTTGCAATGCTCTAAACTGTTCTAAATAAATAGTTTATATATACACCTTAAAAAAATTTTTTTTATCGATTTCAGAGAAGAAGGGAGAGGGAGAGAGAGAGAAACATCAATGATGAGAGAGAGTCATGGATCAGCTGCCCCCTGTACGCCCCACACTGGGGATCGAGCCTGCACCCTGCGCATGTGCTCTAACCAGGAATCAACCAGTAACACTCAACCACTGAGCCATGCTGGCTGGGCATACACCTTTTTTGGATGGCTATGCTTGACTATTTTAAAAAAGAGTACTGTTTTCATCGTCGTTTTAATCCTCACCCAAGAATTCTAGAGAGACTGGGAGGGAGAAGGGCGAGAGAGAGAGAAAAACATCGACACAAGAGAGACACATCGATTGGCTGCCTCCTGGTCGAGCCCCTACCGGGGCTAAGGAACTTTCAACCAAGGTATATGCCCTTGACTGGGAATTGAACCCATGAAACCGGCAAGAGTACTGTTTTTAAAGCCAAGACAAAATTAAGTATGAAACATTATCATTTTTGGTCAACTATGGAAAATCTAGTTCTGTGAACCAAAGAGAAAATATTACCGTTTACTTTATTTCTACTTATTGTAATGTGCTCTAAGTACGTAAAGATAAATATTAAGGTCACAGGTGGTAATTTTGGAAATCCAAATTGTTAAGTAGCAGTGATTTCCCAATAAGTAAAATGGTTCTCATCTTGTATTTTATAGGTTCCCAGATTGTGATGAGCCATACCCTCGACTTGTGGATCTGAATTTAGCTGGAGATCCTACTGAAGGAGCCCCAGTGGCAGTGCAGAGGGACTATGGTTTTTGGTGTCCCCGGGAGTTGAAAATTGATCCTGATCTTGGTTATTCTTTTTTGCACGTGCGTGATTGTTCACCTCCTTGTCCAAATATGTACTTTAGGAGAGAAGAACTATCATTTGCTCGATATTTCATAGGATTGATCTCAATCATTTGCCTCTCTGCCACGTTGTTTACTTTTTTAACTTTTTTGATTGATGTCACAAGATTTCGTTATCCTGAAAGACCTATTATATTTTATGCAGTCTGCTACATGATGGTATCATTAATTTTCTTCATTGGGTTTTTGCTTGAGGACCGAGTAGCCTGCAATGCATCTAGCCCTGCACAGTATAAGGCTTCCACAGTGACACAAGGATCTCATAATAAAGCTTGTACCATGCTTTTTATGGTACTTTATTTTTTTACTATGGCTGGCAGCGTTTGGTGGGTAATTCTTACCATCACATGGTTCTTGGCAGCCGTGCCAAAGTGGGGTAGTGAAGCTATTGAGAAGAAAGCATTGCTGTTTCACGCCAGTGCATGGGGCATCCCTGGAACTCTAACTATCATCCTTTTAGTGATGAATAAAATTGAAGGTGACAATATCAGTGGCGTGTGTTTTGTTGGCCTCTACGATGTTGATGCATTGAGATACTTTGTTCTTGCACCCCTCTGCCTATATGTGGTAGTTGGGGTTTCACTCCTTTTAGCTGGCATTATATCCCTAAACAGAGTTCGAATTGAGATTCCATTAGAAAAGGAGAACCAAGATAAATTGGTGAAGTTTATGATCCGGATTGGTGTTTTCAGCATTCTTTATCTGGTACCACTCTTGGTTGTAATTGGATGCTATTTTTATGAGCAAGCTTACCGTGGCATCTGGGAAACAACATGGATACAAGAACGCTGCAGAGAATATCACATTCCATGTCCATATCAGGTAAGGGAAACCTTGTTCTAAATTTTGTGTAATAGTGAAAAGAAGGCATATTACTATGAAGAGCCAATCTTAGCTGGGGTTTTAAAAAAATTCATGAACCTTCAATTTGTATATAAAGTTTTAAAGCGAACGATAATGAACAAATATATTGTAATAATGTCATGCATATGTTTCTATAAACATCTTCCTTTTAAAATAAGACTTTTACCACTTTAAGGTATGGGCTTTTAAGCAATTTACATCTGTTATTACAAAATAGTTGCTTGTTGCTTCTTTAAAACTCCACAGGTTTGAGGGGGAGAAGCACTTTACCAACTCTGGTAAAAAGGTACTGTCTTTTTATAGAAATTTTACTGATGTTCAAAATAGGAATTAATTGTTTTAACAGTTTTGCAAAAATAATAGAAGGCAGTTGTACAAACCAGTTCATCTCTTAATTGGTCTCAGTTTTCTCTTTTGCATACTGAATATTTTGTGATTTACTTTTTAGTTTAAAGCAGTAGTTCTCAACCTTCCTAATGCCGCGACCCTTTAATACAGTTCCTCATGTTGTGGTGACCCCCAACCATAAAATTATTTTCGTTGCTACTTCATAACTGTAATTTTGTTACTGTTATGAATCATAATGTAAATATTTGATATGCAGGATGTATTTTCATTGTTACAAATTGAACATAATTAATGCACAGTGATTAATCACAAAAATAATATGTAATTATATATGTGTTTTCCGATGGTCTTAGGTGACCCCTGTGAAAGGGTCGTTTGACCCCCAAAGGGGTCGCGACCCACAGGTTGAGAACCGCTGGTTTAAAGAGATTAGGTAATCATAATAATAGAATCTTAGAATTTTAGATCTTGAAAAAACTTTAGAGATCATTTTCAGGTTCCCTCTATAAAGTTCTTAAGCATCTGTCTCCTTTGAGGCTTAGAAATGTATAGTAGCTTGCTCACACTCACCTGGGATTTAGGTCCTAGGAGAGAAGTGGAACAAGGAAAGTAATTCAGAGGAGTTGATGCTAAGTATTTATCTCTCTCATCTTAAAACCTTCTCTGGAACTATGCCACTAGCTATTACGCTCTCTTCTTCCTTTTAAGACGAGTTTTCTTGAAAGAGTTGTCTCCTGTTCATCATGTTCCAGGTTTCCTATTCTCGGAAGTACACCAGCCACCTTTTCATCTATCCCAACCCTTATGTTTCTCTAATACCTTTTAAATGTCTTTCTTAAAGTACTTATGTATTTTACTTGTCTATTTCTCCTGCTAGATGGTGAATTCTTTGAAAGCAAGAAATTCTTTTGCTTTCATATTTTTAATGCATATTCTGTAGGTTAGTAGATAGATAATACCATTGAGAATGTGGGTGTATAGATTGAGAAGAAGAGACATAAGAAATGGTAATAGTCCTAGCCAGTTTGGCTCAGTGGATAGAGTGTGGGCCCTTGTACTGAAGGGTCCCAGGTTTGAGTCTGGTCAAGGGTATGTACCTTGGTTTTAGGCTTGATCCTCTGTTTCAGTCAGGACACGTTCAGGAGGCAACCAGTCAACATGTCTCTCTCACATCGATGTTTCTATCTCTCCCACTCTCTTCCACTCTCTAAAAGTCAATGGAAAAATATCCTTGGGTGAGGATTAACAACAACAACAACAACAAAAAAGGTAACGGTGGTACTGGGAATAAGGAATGTGTGATTAGCACATAGTCAAAGCTCATAAATATTTGATGAATAAAAATGCCAATTCCCTTTTTATTTTGTTGTATAAATAGTCCTATGCAAAATTATATTTTTATTGTATAAATATTAGCTACTGGCTTTTAAAAAATAAACTCAAAATAAAGAGATCAGAAAGAATGAATAATTGAAATTGTATTATATTTCTTAGCAGAATTACTTATTAAAAACTCTTAATATGAATTTTCAGTCCTGAAAATAATCTAATTTTGCCCCTAATGAGAGAAAAAGGTGATCGAATTACATCATATGCTTCCCCATATAAGTTATCTAAGATTCCAGATATATATTATCTTAGGGTAATTAAAAAAACAAAGTTTAACTATGAAAAAATGATCTAAAAAATACTAAACCTTGCCCTGGTCGGTATGGCTTAGTGGATAGAGTGCCGATCTGCAGACTGAAGGGTCCCAGGTTCTATTCCAGTCAAAGGCACATGCTCAGTTTGAAGGCTCGATCCCCAGTGGGGGGTCGTACAGGAGGCACCCAATCAATGATTCTCTCTCATCTGTGTTTCTCTCTCTCTTTCTCTCCCTTCCTCTCTGAAATCAATAAAAATGTATTTTTTTAAAAAAACTAAACCTCAAACATGTAAATTAGAGTAGTTGGGATGTTGCTATTTTTAAGACATTCCTAGGATTCTTTTAGCATCTTTAGAACCAGTTTAAGCTATACAGATATATGTGTGTGTATGTGTGAGCACATACATTCCTTTGTAGTCATAGATTAAAAATATTTTTCCAACTTACAGAAATGTTGGATTTCCAACATACTGAAAGGAATAGAGAATGATATAATAACAATAACATAGTTATTAAGCTGTAAACTCTGGAGCAGAAATCCATCTCCTAGGGTTGTTTTTAATATACATGCAGACACTTAGAAAAGTACCTACTATATAAGTGCTCAAATGTTAGCTTTCTTAATCATTTTCTTCGTTTATTGTTGCTGCTCTTGCTATTTACATATTTACATATATGTAAATAATAGGTTTTTTTTTAAATCATCCAGTACTAAGCTTTAGTAAACCATATTTGCTTTAGACTTTTTAGAGAAATCATATTAGATTTGACTGAAACTTCCTATGTACCTTTCCCCAGTCCTGTTTCTCTTATTCCCTGCCCAGAGTTAACCATCATCCTGAATTTGGAGTGTCATTCCCATGAAAGTCTATACAATTACCAATGTGAATGTAGCTATGAAAAACTTTTGTTTTATACTATACTAGGGGTGGGGGGTGTCCCTCAGCTCAGCCTGCACCCTCTTGCAGTCTGGGAGCCCTCAGGGGATGTCCCACTGACTGCCCCCTGGTGATCAGTGCATGTCATGGCGACTTGGATGACTGGTCGACTGTCTGCCCTTTGTGGTCAGTGCATGTCATAGTGAGTGGTTGAGCGACCTTAGCATATCATTAGCATATTACACTTTGATTGGCTGAACAGGCGACCAGATGACCAGACACTTAGCATATGAGGCTTTTGTTATATAGGATAGTATGTAAATATTATACTATATATCTGTTTTTGATATGTATTTATGTTAATACTATAGTTCATTTTTCTTAAATATTTCCTTTTAAAGAAATTTATGTTAATATTTTAAATATATAGAGGTATAGAAAATAACAAACACCCATGTACTCATAATGTTGAAATTTAATATTATATTTTATCTATGTGGCTGGCTGGCTATTATTAAAGACTAGAGGCCTCTTGCACGAAGAGATTCGTGCAGTAGGCCTTCCCTTCTCCTGGCTGCCAGCACAGGTTTTCCTCCGGCACCTGGGACTCAGGCCTTCGCTCCGGCTGGAGCCGCCTTCAGTCTTCTGTCTTCGCTGCTCTGGCCGGAGCCGCCTTCAGTCTTCCACCTTAGCTGCTCCGGCTCGCCTTCAGTCTTCCCGCCGCCGCTTGGAGGCTACGTATGCAAATTAACCGCCATCTTTGTTGGCTGTTAATTTGCATATCACGCTGATTAGCCAATGGGAGGCGTAGTGAAGGTATGGTCAATTACCATGTTTGTCTATTATTAGATAGGATAGAGTTGATGAACCTCTCTGTTCCCTTTCATATTCCCATTCCCCTTCTCCCTTCCCAGAGGTAACCCTTCTCATAAATGTGATACTTATCATTCTTTCTAATATATATATATATATATATATATTTTAGAGAGCCCGGTGCACAAAAATTTGTGCACTGGCTGGGGGGGGGGTGTCCCTCAGCCCCACTTGTGCCCTCTCACAGCCTGGGACCCCTCGGGAGATAATGACCTGCTGGCTTAGGCCGGCTCCCGGGTGGCAGAGGGCAGGCCCAATCCCTAGGTGCCTCTTCCGGAGCCCCTGGTCGGGCTCAGAGCTGGGCCAATTGGGGAGTTGGGGCGCCGCCCCCTGTCATGCACAGAGCAGGGCGGATCGGGAGGTTGCGATGCCACCCCCAGTTACGCTCAGGGTAGGGCCGATTAGGGCACCGCCCCCTGTCATACTCAAGGCAGGGTTGATGGGGAGGTTGTAGCACCACCCCCTGTCACACACAGAGCAGGGCCCATCAGGGGGGTTGGGGCTCCGTACCCTGTCACGCACAGAGCAGGGCCCATCAGGTGGTTGGGGAGCTCCCCCCTATCACGCACAGAGTAGGGCTGATAGGGGAGTTGGGGCACCACCCCCTGTCACACACACAGCAGGGCCAATCAGGGGGTTGGGGCACTCCCCCCTGTCATACTCAGGGAAGGGCCGATGGGGAGGTTGTGGCTCCACCCCGTCACACACAGAGCAGGGCCCATGGGGGGGTTGGGGCACCGCACTCTGTCACACACAGAGCAGGGCCGATCAGGGGGTTGGGGAGCTCCCCCCTATCAGGCACAGAGCAGGGCCGATCAGGGGGTTGGGGCGCCTTCCCCTGTCATGAACAGAGCAGGGCGGATAGGGAGGTTGTGGCCCCGCCCCCTGTCACACACAGAGCTGCAGGGCGATCAGGGGGTTTGGGCCCTGCTCCCTATCACGCTGCTCCAGGGGCCAGGAGGCCTCACGGCTCCGCTGATCCCAGTGCTGGGAGGCTTCGCTGCTCCGCTGATCCCGGTGCTGGGAGGCTCCGCTGATCCCAGTGCTGGGAGGCCTCGCTGCTCCGCTGATCCCGGTGCCAGGAGGCCTCGCGGCTCCGCTGATCCCAGTGCCAGGAGGCCTCGCGGCTCTGCTCATCCCGGGGCGTGAGGCCTCGCAGTTCTGCTGATCTCGGGTTCGGGAGGCCTCACGGCTCTGCTGATCCTGGTGCTGGG